GGTCGCATTATACGGTCTTCGCCCACTTGCCACCACTGCCGTACGTTGTGTCGCATCGGTTACCCCGAATGCGGTAACCATATCTTCTCTGAACTATACTGTCATTATTAAACTGCGAGGCTACGCCTACGATGACGACGCTACATGGCGCAGGATAGCGTCCCTTGGCAAGAAGTCCTGTTGATCGACGGCACAGCTTAGCTGAGACACCGCAGAGAAATCTTGTTGCTTGATTGCCAGAACCGCGGCTGAGTTGACAAGAACAGAACTGCCGGTTGCCAGAGCTGTCGTCGTATTGACTGCACAGAACTGCCGATTGCCGGGACTGTTGCCGAGTTGACATCACAGAACCGCCGATGAGCACTACTAATTGCAAATGGAACCTCCCTGTGACCTTCCTGATTTGATTGAACCTACAGTATAGCTCCAGGGGATCCGATCACTAAGCACGCCATGTTTCAACACAATTCTTTATACATAACATATATATAACATACGCTGAGTGAGTCTATGTCCCCCAGGGTACTGCCGGAACATACCCTGGGTACGGTCCGGTATACCGGAACGTACGCTGGTACCAGAGCATATAAATCAACGTGAATTATATGCTCTGCTGGTACTATCTAATATGCCGGACCGTACCTCGCCTACTCCACTAACGAGTCTAGGGAGTCGCCTACGCTTACTCCCTAACCCTAACCCTAACCCCAACCCTAACCATATCAGATAGTTACCAGGGTACGTTCCGATATACCGGACCGTACCCAGGGTACGTTCCGGCAGTACCCTGGGGGACATAGACCCTATGAGCATAACTACATATACACATGTTATATTTAGCTCCTTGCCTACAACCAGTTCGGCAGCGAGGTGATTGTTGAAGAACCATGCAGATTCTATTGTTTCGCTCCACATTGTTTGTGACAGAAGTAATTTTGTAGCAGATCGAGTGCATAATACCAGTAGAGTGAGTACAGAGTGAGTAGAGTGAGTACATAATACAGTGAGATCGTCATAATTGAGAAGGATAATGTGGTTAGACGCTTAACTTTGTGAACCATTATCCATGTCACCAGACACATTTTAATCAACGGACTAAATGACCACGACTAGAACAGTACATGCATGTACGAGTATTCGAGAAATGGAAACGTTACAAATATATATTGCTAATTTCACACACGAGTATTACAAGTACTAGTACTAGCTGTTATGACCACTCGAGTTGAGTCAATAATTGTAATAGTTTTATTTGATCAGCATGACGACGTCTTTCTTCACCGGCAGTCGGTAGCAGGAACTTCTTTATGTACGATGCAGCGTAAGCAAGAGCAGCAAGAGCAGCGAGTTCGTCTTTTCGTCCCATATTTTTGGAACCGCCTGTCCGCTAAAAAATGCTTCAAAGCATCGTCTTTCTAGCGCAGAGAATCATTCAGTGACATATCATCGTCATTTGCGTAAGCCATATATAGCGTAATAACCAATATACGATACTAAGAAGACGAAAACTCAGACCGAAAACGTTACGTTTACACACAGTTTAAACAGCGCTGCGTTCGCAACGTTACTTGTTTATCCCGAATGACCTTTGACATTTCCCATGATTCGTTGCGCGCGCGAGATACCTACCTGCGGCATTACAACTGCGCATTCGCAAGGTAACTAGAACCGGCGCGTCTCAATAAGCTGGACACAATCCCACCTGGTTGGCCAGGGGTGTTGCTATCCCCCGGGCGTGGAGGGAGGTCACGTGATAACGTTGACGATGACGTTCAAAACGTTAACCCTAACGGTTACCCTCACTCCAACACCGCCAACACTAACCCTCACACTAAACATATATGTCTCGCCGCGCTATATATAGGCATTGTGATCCACAAAAATTAATCTATGGTGTGGGGACAGATATCATGATGCAAAAACCCTAACCCTAACCCTAATCCTAACCCTAACCCTCACCCTAACCCTAACCCTAACCCTAATCCTAACCCTAACCCTAACCCTAACCCTAATCCTAACACTATCCCAACACTAGTGCTGCCACGCTGCGGTCACCTCCCTCCACGCCCGGGGGATAGCATTACCCAACACGCGACAGGGCGCGGCCATTTTGAAATAACTGAAAACCTGGATCGGAACACCAGGTTACACACAAATTCTACTTAAGAAATGAATACACAAAATCAAATAAGGGAAAAGTCGAGCCATAATAAAATACAGGTTAAAAAGATGATAAGTAAAACGATAATTAGAATAGAATACGAATGGAAAATTACTCGGCCAGGGCAGCTGACGTAACAGGTCTAAATACGGAGCATAATGTAAACAAACGGCCGCATCAAGGCAGAGCACACCGGTATAAGCCGGTACGGAAGCGATGCCAGCTGGGGAACACCCCTGCTTGTTGCTAGGAGAAGGGGGTGGATCGTACACGGCCAGGTAGCAACCAGGCAGTATATAAGGCAGCCGAAAAGCAGGAGAAATCCGAACGCCGGGGCAGCAGCCCCTAGGAGCACCAAGGACAGGATCCCTGCAGGGAGGCAGACGAGCACACTAAAGACAGGATCACTGCACGGAGGCAGACGAGAAGAAGAGAGAAAGAAAAGAAGGAAGAGAGAAGTTATAGAAGGCAGAAGAAAGAAGAAAGAAGAGAGAAGACAGAAGATAGAAGATAGAAGAAAGAAGAAAGAAGAAGGAAGAGAGAAGACAGAAGAAAGAAGAAGGAAGGGAGAAGACAGAAGAAAGAAGATAGAAAAAAGAAGACAGAAGATAGAAGAAAGAAGAGGGAAGACAGAAGAGAGACGACGGAAGAAAGAAGAAGGAAGGAGAAACGGCGCGACGAAGAGAGGAGGGAGGAGAACGCCGACAGCAGGTGCCGTTGCGTCTTGTTCTCACTCCCGACAATCGCAATAGATACGTCGGGATTGCGTTCACGCCGAAGCACCTATATTTTCGCACGAAACCGGTCACTGGCCTTATGCCATAAAATATTATAGTTACGACAAATAGTACGTCACGCAGTCAGAGCACTCATAACGCGTTGGGTAACCCACCAGGTACGATACTGCATAACTGTAGTGTGTGTATGAGCAATAAAACTACCGGTTCCGTATACTTAAGTACCTTGCGTTGTGTTTATTTGTCTCATTGTTTTGCCACCTGCTGCCACGCAACACAGTCCCACTTTGCCACCGGTAGCAAGAAATGATCCCGAAAAACAATTGTGCATTCACACGCACATAATTCATATAGCGGCTACCCCTAGGGCCACTACAGTATCATGCTATGACCCTATACATATTGACGTAAGCTATATATGATGATATAACATTGATCACTGCATATTTCGGGAAGTATAGCTCGGTATCGGTATGTGTGTGTGTGTGTGTGTGTGTGTGTGTGTGTGTGTGTGTGTGTGTGTGTGTGTGTGTGTGTGTGTGTGTGTGTGT